TGTATACGTTTCAAAGATGCACGCACATTTCCATGCAACCGGAGAAAAAGGAAAAAGCCGTCTGGTTGACGCAGCCACTCGCATATCCTTCAACATACTCTCGTACCTCCTGCATCTGCTTTAGGCTGTTCATATCTAAGCTTTCGAGTTTTTGTGTCACGTGTGAACAACGGCGTCGCCTCAACCCGACGGTTTGCTTCGGATCCGCACGTAGGAAATAACAAGTTCTTCGTTTCCTTAATTTTTTTTTTCCCAAACACTCACGAAGTTGCAGTGTGATAAATGCACCACTGAAAGACACCTTTGTGCAGTTTTATTTTACTGCGTTCATTGACCTAATTTATACGGATTCTTTACGACTGATTATAGCGCTCGGAAACGTTCTGTACACATTATGCTGTACTCACCAGTTCGTTCATACCAGTGCATTCGGGTTCCCTACCAGGGTTGGACAAACCACTGGAGTACCATGCTATGTCCCCACAGCTGTCATGTCAGATGGCGTATATCATTGTCCCCGTTTGAATTCCGCTCATGATATTACAATACAGCTGATACCATGATGCTGACAGCAGAACTAAACGTCATCTTCGTCTTTCTAAAAAGACAAACTCGATTAAGATGATTTTTTTTCCAACATATTGGGAGCACGTGGAGCGAAAGCTCGCGCTGCAAATTATGATTATCCTGGGTTCAAAGCCTCCTTCCTCCAACGCGCCCATGTCGACATGGATGAACATCCTAGCGGCATGCGGACGTGTGTTACTACTGCGTGATCCACATTAAAGACCCCAGGCTAGACGTAGTACTGCACTGGCGAAATTACTTACCTACTGCCGGTAACTTCACTGTCAACCTAAACTCAGGCCGTCTAAACACAATCGTCTATTCTTTTTTTTTTTTTTTAATATGATATAAATGACAACCTCGAACGCTGCATTGCAAAGCAGGTACTTTGAGTAGACCCATTAACAGTTCTGTGGAGAAAAAGATTCTATTAATCCCTGCTTCGTGTGCGCTTCAAAGGTTACCCGGTCGAATTTAACACATCGTTAATGAAATATGGTGTTAGCCTGCGAGAAGGTTTAGAACTCCCAAGGTATTTCAATCACACGCTAGTGATATTTTAAAGCGCGTCGAAGTTTACTCCGACCAAAAGAAACCAACGCATTCTGTGGTTTGCACGAATTAATGGCCGTGTGTTCTGCGAAGCTGCTCCCACTTCCATTAAATGTATGTCAAAGTGGGCATGCCAGTTTCTTTCAGAGGTGTTAGAACGGCGGCATATCTAACGCGTGAGTCAAATGAATCGTTGGCCCCTGCATAAATCTGTTTCTTGACGTAGCGAGCTATAATTTTGTACAGAAGTGGCCGAAGATGGTGCATCTTTTGTGTCAAAATTTCAAGAAAATGGGCTTACTGAATGCATAGTAAACAAAATACCCCGTATCCCAAATAGCGAACAGGCTCTTTAAATCGACCGCAAAAATCTGTTTCTTAACCCAGTGGTTCTCAGCCATGGATGTGTCGGGGGCCCCTTGCCGACCGCTGGCAGTGATGGGGGACCCCTTCCAGCGGGTGGGGGGAGGAGGAGGGGGGACGTTAGTAAGTAAACACATCTGGAGCATGAAACAGGTGCCTTTTATTGCTACGTAGCAGAAAAACATAAAACAAAGGTGCCACATCACTTCATTCTGGTCAGTTCATCAATACGTGGCACACTCGCGCTTCAAACTACAAAAAACGTGCCAACTAAAAAAAAATTTAATTTTTGTTGAGGGTCTCGCGGACCCCAGAAGTGGCTTCGCGGACCCCTATTTGGGAACCACTGTCTTAACCTATCGCGTTCCGATTTCGTACAGCGTTAGCCACAGGTAGTGCATTTTTTTCTATAAAATTCGCAAAGAGCGAACTTACCCAAGGAAAAAGTAAAAAAAGAAAAAGGCTTCGCTCCTATGGAAACGCAGCGAAGCCACCGGTCTTTAAGCCATAGGGCGGATTATGGTTCGAAGACCGGTGGCTTCGCTGCGTTTCCATAGGAACTAAGCATTTTTCTTTTTCTTTTTTTTTTTTTTTTTTTACTTTTTCCTCGGGTAAGTTCGCTCTTTGTGAATTTTACAGAAAAAATGCACCACCTGTGGCTAACGCTGTACGAAATTGGAACGCGATAGGTTAAGACAGTGGTTCCAGAGCCTGGTCGCTATTTGGGACACCCAGTTTAAGAGCGTGAATTTGATACGTGCGTTAACTAGCAGTCGTGGCTTTATTTAGACATTTTTACTGCGAGGTAGACTGGCTATAGACGCTTTGCACACGCACCGGATTACAGCCGCCATTGCTGACCTTATCTTGTCTGTTGAAGATACCGAGCCCGAAACGGGTGTTTACAATCCTCCACAGAGGTTAAAAAGGGGGGGGGGGGGGGGGGGGGATGGGATGGGGGGTGCAACGATTTCCAGACTTTGGTGAAAAACTTGTGGAAGTTGCCATCTGACACTTCTGAAGTAAAGAACAGAAATCCGATTTCGCCTGGGTGTCCTAGTTGTGTATATATATATATATATATATATTGGATTTGTGGCACCCCTCGACTCACTGCCAGTCTTCAGGGTCACACCTGGTCGCACTCCTAGTGACGTAATTCGGGGTACTGAGTAGGTTCCCGTGTGTTGTCTCGGAGGACGCTTCCTCTCCCTCTATCTGCTGACATTAGCGGGAAGTTTTGCGGCAGCTTAGAGCCGAGCGAGGTCACGTCAGCTTCTCGTCGTAGTTCCTTCGGCTGCCACTCGCGGCTGCAGGTGGGGCAAAAAGCTCGACTTTTGCTTTGCGATAATACAGCCGAATCGTGACATTTTTTTTATAAAGGATGTGTTTTCTCTAACCTCCAGGACACGATAAACAGCGTAAAATGACGAGATGCAAATTATTTTAATCTTAAAATCATTGCACCTCCCTTAATGTTGGGGAAAAGGACACAATATGATCTAAGATTACAGTAATCTGGCCTCCTATGGTGATAATGAAGTGAACGGAATAACAGGAAACAAAAATAGAAGCTCGGTTATGGCAGCGCCCATGCACAGCTGCAAGTTCCTTTTTTCTTTTTCATCTATTTGATTTTGTTTGCGCAACATCCTGCTCTGGAGGAGTGCTTCCCAATAATGTTTGGGTGTACTGCGGCAAAGCAAGACACGCAGAATTGCCATGCCTATAATCCATTTCATGGTCAAAACGCCTGGAGCAAGCCTATGTCTTAACTTAAGGTGCATTCACAGTGGCGTTCGAAACGTAACCGTGAAGCGGCATTGGATCAAACAACCGTGTTTGCAACCGCTTTGTGAACGTGGTTCAACCGCCAGTGTGAATGCGGCATTAGCGTTCGATATGCATGAGCTCTAGTGCAAAACGAGACGCGCTTGCCGCAGTCACTTGGACATCGTCGCACCCCGCAGAATGAGATCCCAACTTCGCATTAGATTTGGAGTTCATCACAGTTCTCTCATAAACTGGTAGGTGGGTCAAAGAAGCATCGCGGATTGTTTCAGGTCATACGGCTGGGTGGGGCACCACTGCAACGCGCCAGTGCGCGGCAAGAAGCCCGCTCAAGAGACCTAACCTGACGGCAGGAATGACCCCGAACATGAGAAATATTGCGATACCTCGAGTACTGCCAGCATTTTATAGATAAATATAGATTAAATCGAAAAGCATGTTATTCGAAGCGACAATAAAAAAGCTTAGTAATTCGCGCAAGCCTACCCAAACGATCCGACAATGTAATGGGGCCAAAGGTGAAATTAAGTTCTGACACAATGTTGGTGCAAGTTCTTCAGATGTTGGGGAAATTAATTCGACTGCATCACCTGTGTTATTCATTTTTATGCAATGTGCACCCAACTACAATGAGGCCCTAAAAGGGTGCTGTAGGCTTGAAATAAATCAATAAATATAAATCTAGCAGGATGTAGCACTGCAGGCACTCTGGCACAAATAGTAGACCTATCAAAATCGCTGGATCTGTAGTTGGCACACGCCAATTCATGCCCACCCCTTTCCCCTGCGACATGATGAAAAAACAATGCAGAAAGGACAGGACAAAGAAGAGACACGTAGAACACACAAGCACTGTGTTCTATGTCTGTTTCTTCCTTGTCCTGTGCTTTGTGCACTGTTTTAGAGCGCAGCTCTTAGGCGCCAGTTTCCGGCTTCAGCGGCGTAACCGCGCGTTCCATTATGGGACGTTTCCCATAATGACGTCACGAGTGACGTCACCGCGTGTTGGATTATAGGGTTAACTTCCCGCTACATTTAACTGGAAAATTTCCCTATTAAATTTAGCGGAAAAAATTCCCCGCTAAATTTAGTGGAAAATTTTCCCCACTATAATTTAGTGGAAATTATTCCCCGCTAAATTTAGCGGGAAAATTTACCCTCTATCTTTAGCGGAAAAAATTCCCCGCTAAAGTTAGCGGAACATTTTCCTCGCTAAATTTAGTGGGAAAATTTTCCCCGCTAAATTTAGTGGGAAAATTTTTTCCGCTAAACTTAACGGGAAAAAGTTTCCGCTAAATTTAGTGGAAAAATATTCACCGCTTATCTTAGCGGGAAATTTACCGAAATTTTCCCGCTAAATGGGAGGGGAGTAGGAGAGGGTACGGATGAGGAGGGGCATACCCTACTCTCTGTATCTTCCCCTCCTCCTCCTCAAGAGCTGCGCTCTAATTCGGCGTTACAGGGGATTGTAAACGTCTCATTTTTTTCATCATGTCAGTACCCAACTGGCCACATTCCTCTCCTCTGCAGTGGAGTCATTTCTCTGAAGCTCTTGATGACACTGCTTGCAACTTCCCTTTATAAGGAACTCAACCGTTTCTTAACAGCAAGACATAAATAATAATCATGAATTATGACAAACAGCATGAAGTAGCCTACCAGACAACTAAGGCAAACAAAAGTGACAGGAGACCCTGGAGTGCATCTAAACGTTCGAAATCAGAAAACACTTGAGCAGCCCCAGCAGACACATTTATTTATAATAAGAATTAAGGCGAAAAAAAAAGCATGTGTCATGCAGAAATCTACTTTTCACACCTAATAGATTTACACTGCTAAAGCCCCAAAAACCAGAATGCAACATATGTAAAAGCTTCACAACAACAACCATCAGTGATTTAACATAGCTGAAAACCAGTTGCTAATAAAAATCTCACCAGTTAAAAATGATAAACAATAAATATGCTAACATTTCTTTCACATAGACAATCAGGGTAGAGGGTGCTAAGCACTCCAATGATATCAAATCATAATTCGCGATAAATTTTAGCACATTAATGGTACATATAAAACATGCTACAAGACTAATTTTCGAGGAAATTAACAAAAATAAGTATTATTAAATCATAAAATAACAATTTCACAGGTATATAATGTGTTAACACCAAATAGCAAAACTTCCCAAGGACACCTATCTTGCCCGACGACAAGTAAACACCGACAACACCAGAGTTCACTAACCTGGGAGCAAGACAGTGTTCGCCTAATGTAGCAAAGGCTGCTTGTCACCTAATGTTATATCACCACTCTGTTAGGGGGAGTGCAATATGCCACGTTTGGATCTGTGTGCATCAGTTTCATGATGCTCCAAAGCAGACATTACATCTGCAAAAAGAACAATACCACAGGCTTTACAACCGTAGCCTTCAGCTTCTCGGACTCTTACCTTCTGAATGCCAGAGCCATCATCTATAAAAGTTATGTTTGGTGTTTCCATGTCGTAACTTAAAGGATTGCATATGTTGCCTGTAGCTGTACTTACAATATCAGATTGTGTTGCTAAAAGAGCTTCAGAATTACATCCAACAACACTCTCTTTGAATGGGCTTATGGCAATGTGTGAGGAACACATCCTAGGTGACAAATTGGCAGGATTAATATTTACAGAAGTTGGCTTGACAGTTTGAGCATTGCAGTTAACCAGTGGGGTAGAAGTGGATAAAGAGACCACACTATCACCAGTAACCGTGGTTTGTGGATATGTCGATGGGTCTGCATCCTGTAAGCTAGTAGACAAGTGGGCCAAGTCAAATCTCTGTCCATTAGATGAGGGCATGGCTGTACTGCTGACAGAAGGCACAGAGCACGGTGCTACCATGGGTAACATGGAAGTCATGGTGGTAGTCGAGGACAAGGAAGCCAGGCCCACAGAAGTTAATCGAATAGCTGATGACACGGAAGTTGAGCCAGCAGTCGATGATGCAGAAGACAAACTAATGTCACATTCATCTCCTCCAGTAACAGAGGAACGTGAGAACTGGTTTAGCTGCTGAAGAATCTGCTTTCGTTCAAAGGACTTCCTGTGTTTCTTGCCTTTGAAGTGTTGCGCCGAGCTTTCGGGACCCGTGAAGGCCACATTACAGATCTCGCAGCTTTTCACAAAGTCAGCAGTTGTCGTCTGTATTAAATGACCGCTCATAATGGGGGCTGTCCCTCCGGAACTTGTATGCACATGACTTTTAACAAGAGGGCTACTTAACAATTTCGTTTCTTCCTTCTTGAGGTGCTTGGCACTCTTCAGATGCTGCATGTATGGTGCAGGTCCGGAAAATCCCTTGTCACATAATGCACACTGAAAAGCCCCACCAACAAGAACCTGTAAGAAAAAGAAAAAAAAAAATACTTGAAGTGATGCAGATTCAGCTCTATTACTAGCACAATGCATCTGGGGGTCCCAGCGAGAAAGTAATGTAATGAATAAAGGGACACATTTTTGAAAAACTGGGGACGACGGATGAAAAAGGACACAACACACAAAATGTGCTCAAACTGTTGAGCTGCGTTTGAGAAGTTTTGTGTGTTGTCCCCTTTTTCGTCAGTCATCTCCGGTTTTTAAAAAATGTGTAACATCAACCAGCTCGCAAGCCCACTCGCTCTCTCTATGAATAAAGACAATTTTCTGAATGAGCCATTTCGTGGAAAGCCTGTTCAGATATACGAGCCTGGATTATATTTACTCAATGATCAGTGAAAAATTATATTACTGACAGGATGAAGATCAAAACACACAACAGCCATTTATAGAAGTAGCAACAGACAGCCTACTTGATCCAGAGTCATCCTGATCACAAATTCTACGGTGACAATTATTGTAAAATATCCCAACCAAAAATTTTAGGTGATCATGAAAACAACCGGGGCTAGACCTTGTTACACCGGAGTGCAGAAAAGAAGGAGCACATGGAAGGGTAGGCCCATGCTTGAGCCTACATAACATTATAAGAACAGTTCAAGGGTTTGGTAGAATTCCTCATTTTCAAAGCAGCTGGCTCTGGTATGTGTGCAGAAGATAAAAAACTTAAGAATGACATGTTCAATATTCTCTCCTGTGGTTAATGAGGCCAGCAATTTGTTGGCAAGAACATGAGCCTTGGTAAAAATGAAGGACATTCCTTTGATCTACCTTTTCGTCTACACCAAACCATTTACCGATGCATATTTTAACTTCTCCTCAACGTGATACTGTTTTGTTACAGTGCTGTTCCTGATGTTTCCTCGGTGCTGTACTTTGTTAATACCAGGGTAAGACAATGTAGAAGTCGCAAAGCGAGATGTACATTAAAAAGGAATTCATAAGAAGTTAGCTGTTTGTAGATGACATTGCAGGCAGTTCCATGAAAGAAACCTACACTACTGGCTAAGACGTCTATTGACACAAGAAGCTAGGAACGAACCAACTCCTCCACCTACTGTATTGTGGCCTCCTCCACAGGGCAACTTTGATGCTCTATCTGTGATGCCCCCTTGTCCAAAAAACCCTCTTAAAAAAATCCGCACTGTCACCTGTTTGCCATTGCTTGATCAGATACCGTGAGCATGTATTGGACACGAGCGCTCTGCAAGCTTTCGGCATGAACTCGGCTCAGTTCCTACTGAAAACGAGTGCTGTGTCGGCGCTTGGCGCTGACACAGCACTCAAACCCAATCACACACTTCGTGTCCAAACAATGGCGACCGCCAATGTTGCATGATGAACTTTTGAAAAGGGACTAATGTACAGAGCTTTTCTAGACAGACTTTTCACCATACGCTTCAAGCATGTCTTTACGCACTCCCTCTTTTTCCACTCTTTGGGCACACAGAAACGCACAACTCTGCACTGCTCTTGCATACACAGATGTAATGCTCCTGCCATGTTTACCTGGTTGTAATTGGGTAACGGTGATATGCTGGTATACAGCATTGATTTCGATTCCCCGCCCACGGGTGCTGCTATTTAGCGGCAAAAAACTATGCACTGAATTTTAGATCGCTTTGTATCTGTGTGGATTTGCAACTTATCCTTGCGTATTGTTCAGTCTCGCTTTGACTTAAAATGCGCCTCCAGTATTAATAAATAAATGATAATAAAGCTTAAGAAAGCTATGAAAACAAAATGTAGATGTAGAAACACTGATCATATGAGCTACCACCCCGTGCCTTGGGAGCCAGGCTGCTGAGGCTAACACAATTCCTTATCGAAGGGGCAGACACATGGCAATTACTGGCATTCTAACTTTTTAAGATATAAACCAGCAGTATGACCAATTGCAATCAATGCCTTCAAGTATTGATATTGAGTGTTAGGTGACCTTAATACTGCTGATGAAGATTTTCTTTTCCAGACAACTCACAATTTCGATCAGATACATTCTATGCCGATACTAGAAGGCATGATTGTGATCAGAGTTGCTAAAGTTAGGGTGCCAATAAAAAAAATCCCTGCAGTCTGCTATATCTGAAGAGCCTCGTTCCAAAGGCACAATAACGTTCAAAGCACCCCATGTGAGACTTTCTCCGCACTAGGCAGCGCTCTATGCGGAGCGCAAGTTCTTCTGCTTTTTAAACAGGGGTTGCGACGATGTCAGAAAGCCGCGCTCTTACTGGCTGATCGAAAAAAACAGTTGCAGAGACCTCAAGGCACCTAGCATTAAATCTTCCCACTATCCTTTCAATCAAAGCCAAGCAAAGCTCGGCGTCATTCTGACGTCACTGCAACTCCTGTGCAAGAAGCAATGATTTGCTCTCAGTGTTGTTTTTAGGATGGCATAAGGATATAATTCATTCAAGTTGTGAGCCACGCTCTCACACAATTCCTTCACGTTGCTTCTTTTAAGATTCTTGCATCGTTTAACTTGATAGAGGCGACTAATAAAAACAACAGGAACAAGATATCACAGGTAGTGTGTTGCAAACTTATACAGATGCCATACCTCTGCCTTTTGCTCTCTGTTGCAAACGCAAGGTTTACAAAAGAAAAAGAAAAAATTTTCTTTAAGGCGAGTTGTGAAAGAAGCATGCAAGGTCTGTTCAAAATACACCGAGCTTTACTAGAAGCACCGTCATTCCAAACAAAGACCACGCAAGACCGTTAACGCTTACGTCCACCAGCAGCACCATGAATTCAAAGCTTGAAGGATTAAATTTTCTTCTGTCTTGACACCTGGCCCTCGGTAAAGTCAATTTTACCGGACGTGGCATCATTAACGTGGTATAGCCAGCCGGTAATGGCCAGGTGGCGCCACGAGAGGGCTGCGTTCAGCGCCACAAGCGGAGGCGTGTCTGTTAATAGGGCTCCCAGTCTGCCCGTCGGGCTGTGGCGAGCGGCGGCGACCCTGATTTTAGCACTCCCCATGCGCACGTGCGCACCATATCCCTGGTTCCTTTATATTAAGACCATTGGGAGCCTTGATAGTTTGAAATGTTTAGGGCACATTCTACAGTTGTCATTTGAACACCAGTTTGAGCTGTCTTCACCACTAGAATAAAATGTGGGTAATTAGAACCAAGCTCTACATGCTAGAAAACAGTACACACATTGCAATGGCTGTGATGTGATATGCAAGCCTGGTGTAAAAAACTCTGCATTAAATTTGGCTGCCCCAACAAACGAAACCTTATGTGCTACGAAAATCCATTATTTGAGAACTTGCAGGTTTGGAAGGTTTTGGTTGCAACCGCGTGTGCCAAACGGCTATGCACGCATACAATTACGAGTGCCAGAACGGGCCGACGGGCCTCTCGCTTAAAAGCTTATAGCCCAATTCTCGACGTCGCAGTGAAGCAACAATCAGCCCGACTGTTCCTACCGTATTTCACTATGTGCCTGTCTAAATGACCTGTAAAACAACTTGTATAAATATGTTATTTTTCCGAGTAGTCTGCAAAAGGAGTTCGTCAGACCACTTTCCGAACCTGCACATTCACTTTTGTTCACTTCAACATTTAATGAGAAATTCACTTTATGTGTCACATTCCTGTAATCCACTTCTGTCCCCGTGTCCCTTCAAGAGATCTCGAACGGTTTGAACCGTGTCCGTATCCCCAGTCTTGGGTTTACAACTATGCTCAATTTACACCAGCTAGCCTGCACCCTCACCATTGCTTCATAAGCGGTAAAGTTTGATGCCTGAATTACCTTTGTGACTGCGGCAGCCTTTCACGCAGCACTAGCGACATTTTTTTTTCGGAGTAACTCTAGAAGTAGGCGGGATGTCACAGGAACCTGGTGAGGTCACAGAGACCTGAAGCTGGGGCTTACTTTTGAGGAAAATCGGATCCCAATAAGGCTCACGCGACCAGAGATGCCACAAGCACACGTGGCTTCTAAATGCGCCCGCACGCAGTCCCTGCGACCCGGGCCGTCTTGGCCTACCCAGGGGTTTATTTTGCAGCCGCTAGATGGCACAAAGTGTACTGCCAAACTACACTGCCGGTTGCCTATAGCGTTTGGCTCATGACTGGGTTAAAGGCCCATTCGCGCAACAGCGTTTGACCACGTTATGCTTACGTTGAGTTACGACTGCGAGTCACCGGTTGTTTTTTTACGTACAAAGCGTGGCAAAACAATTCAAGAGCTAGCTAGGTAGCTCAGCACACGAAAGAGCGTTACTAGACGCGGGCCTTTACGGTACGGGCCGTCGCCTTTCCGCAGTGCCGTGTGAGTGGGCCTTTACGTCGACATTTGTCCGCGAGTTACTCTCCTTCTTAAAGTGTCTACGTTCAAGATGGAACATCTTCAGTCAGGTGGTTGCGAACAAAATAAGAAGCGGCCACGGAGTGACGTATCGGGTACAAAATTGGCATCGATTATCTCAAACGATACGAGGGTTGTCGGGGGATACCTGCACTTACCGTTCTTTCTGATGGATTTGTGGGAGACTCCATGGAGGGGTGCAGGTATTATAAATCGGACGTATCGTGCAGTGCGAAGGAAACCGCGGACTTGAAACCCTCTGTCCCAACCCTAGAACGATCGCAAGCGCCACACGCCACACACGCCACACACGCCAGAAGCGATGCCGAGTGTAGGCGTATAGTTTCGGATTAGCGTTGCCAACTTTCGCTAGTGATATTTCCTAAATTCAGCCACGTAACGTGTGATCAGCGCTTTTGTTTCTTCTTGACGTAAAATTTAAAAAATAATTCTACGAAAAGTATAGGAGTTATCAAAAATTGAAGCATGTTAAAGAAATATTTCTATTTATGTTTGCATAAGCGTGTGTCTCAATGGCCACAGTCGTGATTCCGGTTTCGGTATGTGCCCATGAAGACAGTATTATGCGCCAGTGTTTGCTCTGGTTTCCTTTGTGCCGAAATCTGATATAAGATATTCATGACGGCTTATAAGTTTGTTTTTTGGCATATCTAGACTATTTTGGGTTATTTGGAAGCAGCACGTGACAGCGCGCGATGGCTTCTGTGACATCGCAGAACATCTCTTCGGCCATCGTTTGAACTGGCTGCATGAACCATGGCGCATTAGAAGCAGAATATCAGCTATCTATAAGGTACGTGTGCGAAGCTTCTGGAATGCATAAGTCATTAACGTCTTTACTACACCTTACCCAAAATGCTATGGCGCAAAAAATTCGCACGATACATCCTAAGCCGGCTGGCTTTGCATATGAGCGATGACACTTTTTCAAATGTGCTAGATATTTAGCATTTGTAACATTCTGTGAATGACAAATCAAATTATGCGACTTCGCCGTTCTCAACCGGAATAGCAAAATAATAATAATAATAAATACTTCCAATAGAAAAATTAATTTCTCTCATGCGCTCTAGGTAGCGCTAGCTAAACCCTTAATCCCTCTAGTATGTACGAAGGCAAAGCCGCTAGAGCGACAGCGCCGACGACAAAAAGAAGTACGGAGGAGCAATGAGAGCGGAAACTTCTGACCCCAGCCTTATATGATGCTTTGTTCGTTTAGTTAGTGTTCTCATTGTTTCTAATGCGGTCTCGGTTCCGTGTCAACGAACCGCACCGGTTGTCGGCCAGCAAGCGCAGCCGGTGCAGCTAAGTGAAGAAAGAACCCGCGCTGGTGGGCATGTTGGATCTCGGCAGTTTGGACGTAAACAATGCGGACTACGAGCACGATCTCGACTTTCCGGTCCTCAAGTACACCGAGATGACGGGCGCCTTACTCAAAGAAAGTGTATCATTGTGCACGGCGGCCTGCAAGAAGTTTCCGAGCAGCAATGAGCGGGCTGCCAAGTACATCAAGCGAGCCATGGACCGAAAGCACGGCTCTTCGTGGCACGTAGTCGTCGGTGGGGCGTTCGGGCTCGAAGTGACCCACGAACTTCGAAACATCCTCTACGTGTTCTGCTGCGCGAAACTGGCGGTGTGCTTGTGGAAGTGCTCCTAGCCGAAGCAAGCGACGCGCGACTCGTCGCAGCCAGCGTCGCCACACAGAACCGACTCTCCTGGTGGTTGGTGCTCGCTATGCTTTAGAATGTTTGTTTCGAGCGGTATTCGGCCGTTAAACAAATGAACTAAGTGCGGAGGAACTTTTCACAAAGGTACCTTTAGGTGGTGCATTTATCAAACTCAAATTTCATCAGTGTAGGTTTTAAGGAAAAAAATAATAATGTAAGCCTGAAGAATAGAAGTTTTTGGGGATTAACTTTTTTTTCCTGATACCCGCAATCTTAAATTTGAGTATGATAAATATGCCATCTAAAAACCTGTTTGTGAAAAGTTTCAATGCACTCCGGTCATTGGATTGTTTATACAGACCTTTTGATGGCAGAATTTTGCTTGAAAACACCTTGTAATGATGTTTACATTGCCTTTAGCTATTCCTAATGAAGAAAATGAAGTTGCCAGAAGTTGATACGAAATTTTAAAAGAATATTGACTCAAGCAATGGTCTGGGCTCTTGCCTGGCATGTTGCAATGGTGGCATGTTCCATCGGTAATGTTGATGTAGAAGGCAGTGAACTTAGCATATCATGAAGTGAACTTAGAAGATTGAAGATGCTTCACTGCATCATCGATTAAATGAGAGAATGGGGTGTTGATGTCGCTGGCCTGTAATAAGGCGGAGTCTCCTAAGGGGGCGGTTCACCGAATGATACTTTAGCGAATAGTCGGGCGCCGCGAAGCTGCGTTTACGCGTGGGCCAATACACACACACACATGTGGGTTTACATTTTTTGTAATGAGCCACCGCAGACTGTCGCCGCGAAGCGGCGTAAAGCGCAGCGCGGCGGATGGGTTAACGCGCGCCCCCGTAATTCCCCCGGAGGCTCCGCCTTATTACAGGCCAGCGACACCAATACCGAGAATGGTGTTATAATGTTAAAAGCAAACTCATAAGATAGCCTTTCCATTGAAGATGTGTAAAATCAGCCCTGCTGAAATTCTGAATATTGTAAGAGGGTTAGCATTAGATTATGGCCATACTTTTGCATTCAAACCACTCTTTAAAGGAGCCCTGCAAGGACTTTTTTTACTGGTTTTTAAATTTGCACTGAACCTGAGCGCACTGAACGTAGAAACTTAATGAAACTTTTCTGTTCTCGAATTTCGCTTTATTTTAAAAGTGACAGGCAAATTATAATTACAAAAACAAGCAAGAAATTACCTCCTTTATGACGTCCTTGGTTGCTTGAGTGGCCGTGAACTAGAGGAGGGGTAGTGAGCTGAGCGAGCGCTCACGGCTGCCGCACTCCGTGTCGACGGCTCGAGAAGGCGCCACTAAAGCATGCTCTGGATAGGCTGTAAGAAGCGGGTGGCCAGGGCAGCTCGCATTGCATTTGCTGTGTTATTAAACAGTAATTCGGCATGACACTTCATTGGCAACAAACGACAGCTAACACTGGGTAAAGATAGTTCAGAACGGGAGCCACTCCGCGCTGCCATACCGCCAAATGGCCAAAACTGCTCGCCGAAGGCCTTCGGAACCAGTCGCACCCTCAAGCCCTTATACGACCACAGCGCCGTCGCACACATCCGGGACCTTTCTACGCTCTGCGCTCGTTGGTGCCTGACCCCACTACCTCTTTCTAGTATGCGCCGCCTTTTCCCCCTGCTTGGTTGCGGGTATGTCAACGGGTCATTTTTTGTTTCCATACTTTATCAACTGCATTTGTTTCTTTTCTGATCTAAAATACCGAACAAAAACAACTTTCATAAATAATTGAAATGGCTTGCACCACTTATATTTTGTATTTCGACTAAAAAGAAGCTTTTAGTAGCTCTGACCAGTAGTAAGGCCAGGACCAAAGACTTCACATATCCTGCGCTTTTGGCACCGCGGGTCGCCCTTGTAGGTGGAGGATATTTCCGCGTCGTTTGGTTAAAATATGACGCAATGATATTTAGTTACTCTCTCCCTGCCCGCTGGATTGCCCGAACTCCGAGAGATGTGGAAACCGCAAAAAAGGTAGATGCTCAAATATGATTGCAGGACCCCTTTAACACAAAATTGTTGAATACTAGTCGAGTCTGTTCACTGCAGCTGCACGTAGCTTTACCACAGCTTGTTTGCTCCCTTTGGTGGTTTTGATCCGTGCTCGGACACCAACGTGTAAAATTCACCGTAAAAAGTAAATTTTTTGCAGAATGGCTTTGGTAACAGCCCTCAAACTACTGGTATTACCTTTGTCTGCTGTGATGAAGTTTGCTAACATCGTCTTGCACACATAGCTGAAATTGCTCTTGTGAGTGCCAACCACGTTGGAACATGTGAAGCGACCCATTTTTTCTTTGGAATTAGTACTCGAGATGCCCGCACTGTTCGCAACTTTCATGACCTATAGAGGGTGCGCTAGTTCCCATCAAAATGGCTGCTATATGGATGATTGTGTTAGAACGGCAAGGCGAGGTTGGGTCTTCAACGCGTAAGTAATTTGAATTTTGTAAAATTCGAGCGATATAAGAGCACGTACCTGGTACTTTAATGTTAAAAAGGGATGAGCTAGCACCTTCGTTCGGAAGCCGATCATCCAGAAGCTAGGGAGCATGGTTTTCACTGCAGTACCACCATCGGTGAAAGTTGCATATCCTCCGTTTCGCCTTAGAATGTATCAGAGCAATCGCTACGAGTTGTCTTATCCAGTCCGATGCTTCACGTGTGTCACGTGACCTTACACTCTGTGCGTTGCTCCGCTCAGCTGGAAGGTCACGTTACATGCTCAAAGTTATGTATGGCTTGCATTGATGTCACGTCGCATATGTACTTTTGACCACCATGAAAGAGAGAAGCCGCTTTTGTATAAATTTTAAGTGAGGGGTTAATCTTTCATTATCTTCTGGGAGAAGAGTACCAACGTCTGGGAAAATCTGAGACACACAAAAAGGGGTCCTGGTAAGAGGGGAGCTTGGTATGTTTGGGAGAAGAACGTGTTGGTTTAAGTCTTGGATGAAGAAAGAATAAAACAGGGACAACACAACCACATCTTTCAACTAGCAACAGACGAGTAAACTTTCAACAGCGAGCAGCCGACTATACCCAGGAGGAGAAAGGGGGAGAAGGGAAGATAAGAAAACGCCAAGTGCAAGTCAGAGTAGTGGGCTTATCTCGGATTTTAGAAATTCAACCTCAGTTTTCGTCTGCAGGAGGGAAGGGTTTGACACGTTTTTTGCTGTGGTCATGGCGAAAGACTCTATGATCTCCCTGCCATGGGATAAAATCCATTGCCTCAAAGTTCGACACGAATGTTGTCTTCTCGTGCTGCATGCGTCTTAAACAACTCTGTCAACAAGTGAACAACAACTGGATTCTGATTGGCTGCACTGTTGCCGATTGGTGCACGGCAGATGCACCAATCACAGACTCCGCGAACATCACAACAATGTTTCTAAGGCCTCCCCAGATTCTTACCATCTCATAGTCATACATGCCCATTCGTGTTTGCGTTGTCATCCCCTCTTTGATGAAACAAAAATCCTGGGGGGGCATGGCAGCAGATTCGGCAGGGAGATCATAGAGTCTTTCGCCATGACCACAGCAAAAAACAATGTGTCAAACCCTTCCCTCCTGCTGACGACAACTGAGGTTGAATTTCTAAAAATCCGAGATAAG